AGTCCACATCCCACAGAAACCATGCCTGCTGGCATTGGTATTCAATGACCAAGACCAGTTATAATAAACCCATGACAAATGAACAAGACAGCTTCTGCTTATGAGGGTACCTGGCAAGGGCCGTTTGAGGATGGACGGGTCAGGGAAAAGCCCTCTGAGGAGGTGACCAAACAGCTGAGACCTGAAGGCAAAGGAGATGCTGAGTGTCAGGGAGGAGTTTGGGGAGGGAAGGGCTTTGCCGGCCGTAGCTCGGCATCTAGGTTGAGTCTAAGAAATGGGAGGCTGTCAAGGGCATTTTAAGCAAGGGATGATGTGATACACTTTACGTCCTGGGTTTTCCCCATGTCAGACAAGCCTCTCCACCTTTTAATCTGATTTAATGAGCCTGAGCAGAAATGGGCAAAACCTGCTGGACCTCCGTCAGCCAGTCAGGGCTTAGGCTGTTGTAACTTACAAGGTCTGTCAGCTCTTCTGCTCTGAGCGCCACCCACCCCCAACCCCGCCTGCCTCTTCCCAGTAATAAGAACCGCTGGCTGGAGCAGGACACAAAGATGGTCAGCGAGGCTGCAGGAGGGCTGCGAGGGTGGGTTCGCGGTGATGTGGGCAGTGGGGGCTGCTGGGAAAATAGCTTTTCTGTTGTGAATGGCCTCTTGGGGTAGATCTTGCAAGATTACGCATCTCGTGTCATTAGAAAGCATGGCTATAAATTAGGCTGCTCAGAAGCATGGGGTGTGTAATAATTAAGTAATAAAAGTCACCACAGGGGTAAGGGAACAGGAAAACAAAGAGCCACTGTTTGTAGATGCACTGCAGGCTGCCCTGTAAAGAGACCTCTGAGCTCAAGTGGCATTTCAAAGCCACTGAAGCTCCTCTCAAGCGGAGTCCCGCGTCAGTCTAGTCCCAAAGAGGTCCCCATGGAAGGGAGGTGAACTGTCCTGGGTGCACAGACAGGGCGGGAGAATGGGAGGGGGCTGGGAAGAGGATGTTTAGGGTCCAGTCCAGCTCTTTGTGGCTGGCTCTGGAGCCACAAAATCCAACACTTGGACTGGCCCAGCAGGCAGTGGAGGACAATAGGGAAGGGAGCGGACTTGGGCTAAATGACACTTGATACTCAGCTCAAGCCAATTGTTGCCATGTAGGAATGCAGGCCCACTTGGCCAGAATGTATACATCTTCAAGACAATCTGGAAAGCTGGGTTCCTTTAATGTAAAATTTCCCAGTTTTTAAGTGTTGACAACAATTTCAAAGACTTTAAGGACCACCGTGCAGACTGTATAAAACACAAAGCCAGAAGCCCCAGGTTTGCAGTCTCGGGTCCTTACTGTATGTGAGCTTTGGGAGTAGCCTCACTGCTCAGTCCCTCCATTTTCTGATTCCCTCGTCTGTGAAATAAGGTCACAGGGGAAGAACAGAGGCTCTGAACTTTTCCGGGGGCATTTGCACCTTTGAAAATGTGATGAAAGCTGTGGGCCCTCTCCGCAGACATGGTGTCTATACACTCCTGTTCAGAGATGGTGGTCTGCCACTCCGTGGGACTTCCGGGGGGTAAGAGCCCCAGGCCTGGATGATTGATGAGGCCTTAAGCCCTGAAGGGTAGGTCCTGGGCACAGCCTCTCCAGACGCCCCAGACCCATCGAACCAGAACATGCCTCGAACAAGATCCCCTCTGTGATCCACGCTCACGTGACGGTCTGCAAAACGCTGCTGGAAGGCTCCTTCTGCTGTAAAAGACCCAGTGATGTCTGGTTTCGGGAACTTCTCTGGACAGCACGCGTCGGCACTGCAGTTTCTCTTGGTGTTTCCCAAAGTGTGGGCTGAGGAACCGCCATGTGTTTATTTCCTGGGGCCGCCGTAACAAATGACCACAGACCTGGCGGCTTCGAACAACAGAAATGCATTTTTCTTGCCGTTCTGGAAACCAGAAGTTTGCAGCTGAGGTGTTGGCAGGGCGGTGCTCCCTCCAGAGGCTCTAGTGGAGAATCTTGCCTGGACTCTTCCAACTTGCGGGGGCCCCAGACGTTCTCTGGCTTTTCTCTGCCTCTGTCTACACCTCACCCTCTCCTCTCCCCTGTATCTCCGATTCTGTGTATATTTTATGAGGACACTTGTCATTGGATCGAAGGCCTACCCCCCAAAGCGATTTACATACTGTTAATCCCATCTCGAGATCCTTAACTTGACTACATCTGCAAAAGCCCCTTTTCCAAATAAAGTCATACTCACAGGTTCCGGAAGTTAAAATGGAAACATTTGGGAGGGCGCCATTCAACCCACTCACCCTGTATCAGAAATACTTCCTATATTTGCTAAAAATGTTCTTTCTTGGGCCTCACCCCCAGGCTTCCTGGATCAGAACCTCTGGGGAGGGGGCGCCAGTGATTTTTATGCATTGTAAAATGTGAGACGCTCTGGTCCAGAAATATGAGGAGGCAGTCAGCTTGGACCTGAGCTGAGTGATGGAGAAGGTGATAAAGACCATTTGTGAGTGAGGGTGGGAGGGAGGGAGACGCAAGAGGGAAGAGAGATGGGAACATATGTATACGTATAACTGATTCACTTTGTTATAAAGCAGAAACTAACACACCATTGTAAAGCAATTATACTCCAATAAGGATGTAAAAAAAAAAAAAAAAAAGACCATTTGTGATCACAAGGAAGATGAGAAAGAAGGGAGCGGGGAAAACAATGAGCTTCATTCCCTGAATTTTTCCCCTTTGTCTTTTTACTTCTTATTACGAAAAATTTCAAACATGCACAACAGTGTAGCAAATAGGATAATACACATCCATGATCACCCCTCATCACAATGATTCATCCACTCTCAATTTATTCTGTCACCCTTGTTTCATTTTTTTACTTTGTTGTTTTATTTTACCGTGCTTTATTTTTTGCTGGAGGTATTTTGTTTGTGTGTTTGTTTTTTTGCGGTACGCGGGCCTCTCACTGTTGCAGCCTCTCCGGTTGCGGAGCACAGGCTCCGGACGCGCAGGCTCAGCGGCCATGGCTCACGGGCCCAGCTGCTCCGCCGCATGTGGGATCTTCCCGGACCGGGGCACGAACCCGCGTCCCCTGCATCGGCAGGCGGACTCTCAACCACTGCGCCACCAGGGAAGCCCCTTGCTGGAGGTTTGTTTAAAGCAAATTCTAAACTACACAGAATTTTACCCCCAAACCCTTCAGTAGGTATTTCTAACATTAAGACGTAAAGCAACCACAATATCATTATCACACTCCACGCAATTAGCACTATTTCCTCACGGCTTCTGAAACTCAGCTAGTGTTCGCTTTTCCCTCAAAAAATACCTTTCCCCTGTTGGTTTGTTTGAAGCAGGATCTGAACAAGGTCCACATATTGCCTTTGGTTAATGTATTTCTTAAGTCACTTTTGATCAATATCACTTCCTCATCCTCCCCTTTCTTCAATGTCCTTTGTTGAAGTGACTGAGTCACTTGTCCTGTAGAATGTCCCACACTCCAGACGTGGCAAACAGCATCCTCGTGGCGGTGTTTACCATGCTCCTTTTCCCCCTGCATTTCCTGTAAATCATGGTAGTTGGGCTGAGAGCTGTGCGTCCAAAATGGCACACTAGCCCTCATGGCTGTTGAGCACTTGGCATGTGGCTGGTGGCACTAAGGAACTGAATTTTCCATTTTATTTAAGCTAATTTAAATTCAGATTTTCAAACAACCTTTTAAATACCCCATTCCTATCTTTAATTACGTGTTGACATGATAATATTTTGGATATATTGGGTTAATAAAATACATTAGTAAAATTAATTCCACCTGTTTCTTTTTACTCTTTTTAACATGGCTACTAGAAGAATTTTAGTTACATGGCGGCCCACATAATATTTCCATTTGACAGTGATGGTCTAGAAGTCTGATTACCCTTGGGCTCACTTTGGGGTTTGTTTCCCCCAAAGTGTTTGGTGGGTGGTGCTACATACCTCCTATTAATCACTCCCAGCCCCACATCTGTCACTCCCAGTGATGGTAAGATTGAACACTTGGGTAAGTTTTATGTTATGCATATTTACCTCAATAAAAACAAATTGATCCTTTGGTCCAGCTGCTGTAGCCTGACACATCCATTGTAAAGTTCCTCATCAGCCTTCCACCTAATCATTGATTATTACCTAAATCCATTATCATTAGGTGTTGCAAAGTAATGATTCTCTTCCCCCAATTCTGTCCTTCCTCCTGCATTTTATTAGCTTTGGTTCTTCTATAAAGAACTTTTCCTCATCACCTATTAGGTTACCTTGAGAGGGTCTCACACACAGTGCTGCCCCACTGCTCTGGGACCTTAGGATGGGGATGATAAAAGTACCCACTTTACAGTGCTGTGAGGAGTGGGGCATGCAAAATGCTCTACACAGGGTAAGTTCTCCTTGGCTGGAAACCCTTGTCAAAGAGAACTAGAGCGGAGGTTAAAGGCAGTAAAGACGGATTTTATTCAGCATTATTGCAAAGGCGAAAGTGACCTCACTCAATTCTGAGTACAACACAAGTGGGGATTTATAGCCAAGGAGCAGAGTGGATGGAAAATTACTACGAGGAGACTTCAAGGGTAGGGAGATTCTTACTAAACTGACTTAATAGGACTCTTGGTAAAGGCAGGCCAAGGTGATCAGACGTCAAGGGCGGGGGGATTGACTTAGCAGGGTTCTTTGCTAAGGCGGACTCTTCATCCGGCCAAAGATAGGTCCCAAGAACGAGGCCTAATCAAATTGAGGGCTCTGAGAAGCCTGCCTAAAATCTGGTCAAGGAGAGAGTCTGTCACCATGTCAGGCCCAGCACTTGGTTGGTGGACAGTAAGTGTTTGTTGAACAACTCACACGAGGCACCGTTTCTTTCACGGCTGCAGAAGGGCCAGAGAGAAACTCTCACAGCCTTGGGGAGAACACTTTGCTCTGTAGCCCTGATGGTCAGGTGGGCAGCCTCTGGGGAGGGGGGCCTTCCCCGACCTCAAGCCCATCTGACTGCTTCCCCACAGGCCTTCCACCCCCTTCTTTGATCTGCTGCAGCATCGGTACCAGCAGCTATGGGTGCAGGAACAAAAGGCCAACCAGAAAGCCATTAAACTGGAGAAAAAGCATAAGGTAAACTCAGTGCTCACTCCAGAGTGGGTGACTGATGGGGTGGGAGGGAAGAGAAGGGAGGGGCTGGGGGAGGCAAAGCCAAAGCTCAAAAGGATGCCGCCTGCGCATGTTTATTGCTGGGGTGTGGGCAGGGCTGGGGAATCAAGTTGCTTGTTGCTTTGCTGAAAGGGTCTCGGTGATGATCGGGTTCAACCCTGACTTAAGCCCCGCCGGCATCACGAGTAAACTGGCCCCGTGTGCCTCTGGGGCAGGATCGGGACCCCATCTCCCGATTCCCGTCTAGGGGTGGCCCCACCAAACTCCGCGTGACCCCACACATCTGGAAACCAGATTGTCCACGAATCTGACCTGGCCCGGACAGAAATGTGCCCTGGTCTATCTATAAAGAAAAGGTTAGGAAGGCAAAGTCCAAAGAGAAAACCCACTTCTGGGAGGGTTCCGCAAAGACCGCATTTTATGAAACGTTAGGATACATTTTGTTTCAAGTGGATGACTAAGCCCCATGCTAACCGCTCCACGTACATCACATACATCATCTTATTTGCGCTGGATACCAGCCTGTGAGCTGGGTGTCACCCTAGTTCCCAGGCATGGACATCGAGGCCCAGAGTGGTGGTGGCCACACTGGGAAATTTGAGCTGAGGACAGAATGACACCCAAGCACCAGCAATTGTTAATTGTGTGCATCTAGGTGAGATTTTTACCTGGAAAAACATCTTTAGCTGTGAATTTGCATTGTCACTTGCATTTGAAGATACTAAACGTGGTACCCCCTTTAAAATAGCCTGAGAGGTCTTTCCCAGTGTCGCAGTGGTTAAGAATCCGCCTGCCAAGGCAGAGGACACGGGTTCGAGCCCTGGTCCGGGAAGATCCCACATGCCGTGGAGCAACTAAGCCCGTGCGCCACAACTACTGAGCCCACATGCCACAACTACTGAAGCCCGCGCGCCTAGAGCCCGTGCTCCGCAACAAGAGAAGCCACCGCAATGAGAAGCCCATGCATCGCAACGAAGAGTAGCCCACGCTCGCCGCAACTAGAGAAAGCCCGCACACAGCAATGAAGACCCAACGCAGCCAAAAATAAATAAATAAATTTATTTTTTAAAGTTAAAAAAAATAAATAAAAATAAAATAGCCTGAGGTTCGGACTTTGGGAGCACTCAGGTTGGTCTCTTCTCCAGTAGATCCGGATCGATGACGGTAAAATCAGAATTGCTTTATGCTCACGTAGCACTGTACAGATTTCATTAGAAGCACAGCTTTAGTGTCTTTGGTTGTTGCAACGATCTCACCAATGCCGTCCCTCCTCCAGATTCCGTGCAGAGAACTGGATCCAGCACGCACCCTGTGTTCATGCCTTTTGCCCTCCCGGACACCCCATGAGGTCCGAGTCTCATCAGAGCGTTCAGTTTGTTTCATTTTCAGATGGAGGAACTCAGTCTCAGAGAGGTTAAGTGACTGGCCAAAGCTCCCAGCCAAGCCAGGACCCAGGTGTGTCCCGCCCCAAAGTACAGGCTTTTCCTGATGGTGAGGTCCCACTCTTGCCGATTACGGGAAAGCTTAGGATTCAGCAACAGTGCCTGTGATGTTCTAGGGACAAACTGGGGAGTGGAAAAGTCTTATCAGGGATCCCGGCACCCTCGGGACCGGCCAGGAAAGCCTGCTGGGTGGAGGGGCCCAGGGCTCCCCAGGCCCAGCCAGAAGCCAAGGCCCCTCCTGGCTGTTGTCAGCGGTGGGTGGAGTCCGAGACAACCACTCATTAAAGAGCAGAGCGTTGTAATAATACTTTAAAGCAGCCCACGACTAGTTTATTTGTTAATGGCTCCAGAAGGAGTCAGCTCACTATGGTAACGGCCAGTTTCCGAGGGAGCATTGCCATTACACGCTGCTGCTTTATAGCTCCAATCCAGAGTCCTGTTTTTAATTAGCAGCTATTTCACGACAGCTCAGAGTGTCACAGGTCCTCAGAATCCCGGGCCTCCAAAGACACGTCTTCTGAGTCTAGAGACAGTCTCATAGCCAGTGCCCCTCGGTTTTCAGCAGAGCACCCCTTAAGCAGCCACTGTGGGTGGCTCCATCCCCAAGCACTGGTTGGGGACTGGTGCCAGCCTGGGGGTGGGGTGTGAATTTGAGTGAGTCACTGCTTTGCTGGGGTCTCAGTGACCTCACTGGGCCAAAAAGGAGGTCAGATTAAATGGGGGCCTGCAGAGCTGGGCCCAGCACATAGTGGGCACTCAGAAAATACTTGTGCAAACCACCCCCAGAGTTCTCTTCCTGTCCCAAGATTCTCTGTGGCTATCAAACGGCTACAAACACCCAGACCCACCAATGGCTGCGGGCCTGATGAACAATTTATTAGGGTTGATAAGACCTTTGATTTACAAGGTCAAACTGCCCCCATCCTAGGAGAAGCCTGTCTCTTCAGCATCTCGGGATGTCCTGGATTTTGGAAGATGATGACCCCAAATGAAATTCTTGGAAACAGCTTCCATGTAGTGAGTAATCATCTTGGACCAGACACTCTGCTCAAAGCTAACTCCACAAATCCTACAGGCACCTGTTCGTTAGGCATCGGTACCCCCATTTCCTGCAGAGGAAACTGAGGTTTGGAAAGGTGACAAGACTTGCCTTCATTCCTTCAATTCTGAAGGCCAACAGCTCCTTCACGCCGGGCCGGGCAGCCTCTTGGCTTTGGTTCGAAGATGAAGCTTCAAAGCTGTTCTAGAAAGCGGAGGGGAGAGCTGATCCAAACGGCTTGTAAGTTATCCACAGATGCATTCAATAAAATTAATATAATTGATCAACAAAATAAATCAACCAAAGGGGTTCGATGGGGTGGTGGCATCTTCAGTTAGGCTCAGGTCAGCTTTTATTTGTCAGGTGCACTGTCTGCCCTGCGTCCTCTCTCACACCCCCTTCTGCAGTGGCCCATCCTCTCTGGGTCCCCTGGGCACCAGTGCATCGTCCAGCTCATCGGCTCTGGGTGTGAGGCTCCCACTCGTTACACTGAGGCTGTAGTTATAAACAAGAGGCCCCTGTTTACCAGTTAACTCCCCTAGGGGGGTTTGAATTCTGACAAGGATCACGGCCGTGGGCTGTGTATGGCTGACTCTGTATGGAATTCCCCCGGGACACACATTGAAAATGCAGACTCCAGGGCCCCTCCCCCTCTGATTCTAAGGTTGGAGGCCTGGGCCCCTGTGTTAGTCTACTGGGGCGACCATAACAAAATAGAACGGACTGGGTGGCTTAAACAACAGAAATCTTGGAGGCTGGAAGTCCAAGACCAAGGTGCCAGCAGAGTTGGCTTCTCTGGAGGTTTCTCTCCTTGGCCTGAAGATGGCCGCCTCCTCGCCATGTCCTCACATGGCCTTTCCTGTGCGGACAAGCCTGGTGTCTCTCCTCTTCTTAGAAGGACACCTGTCCTACTGGATCACAGCCCCACCTGATGACCTCCCTGAACCTTAATCACCTCCTTAAAGGCCCATCTCCAAATACGGTCACAACTGGGGGTTAGGGCTTCGACGTGTGAATCTGGAGGGGAACGCAATCCAGTCCACAGCAGACCGCATGAGCTACAGGACCCTAATTATGGGCCTGCCGACCTCTGTTCGTGGGCACGGGGCGTGCAGATAAAGAGGAGGAGGACTGCCTCTGTGCCTCTGAAATCCCACCCACAGAGACCTCCGAGGCCCTGACCCAAGCCCCCAAATCCCTCCCCCCGAACAGGAGTCCTCCTTCCTCTTCCACGAGCAGACCATGCTGAGGACCTGCCCCACAGAATGGCAACAAGCCATCGAATCATTCATTCTTCATTCAGACACTGTGGTGTCCGTGGTAACCACCGGGGCTGTGTTAGCCACTGAGAAAATTACAAGGCTGTCTGGGACACACCCCTGCCCTCAAGGTGGCTGCATGTCAGAACCCAGAGAGTTCTAGGGCCGAACCTGAAACCAAAATAACACGCTCCCAGCGTCCCGTGGTCCCACCCCCAAGTCCACTGTGGTCACAGGCAGGGCCAGGGGTGCAGGTGCACTGAAATCAGACAGGGAGAAGGGCCAGAGCCAGGAGGAAAGTGACGCGTGGGTCTGCAACACCAGGAATCCCAACTCTTCGTCGTGGCTCGGGCTTCTCCAGGTAGCCGGTAACCATCTTGCCTTGGCATTTCTTGGGCTTGCAGGTGATCCTTGGGAAACTGTACGAGACCCGGAGCAGTCAGCTGAGAAAGTTCAAGCCGCCCGTGCAGCTGGACGCCCCCTGGCACGTGCCTCACTTCCAGAAGGTCAGTCTCGCCTCCACCTGCCCCTTCCTGCACCCGGGGGGGATGCCCCTCACCTTGACTGGTCTCTACCTGTCCTCTAGACTGTAGAGTTCTGTGGGTTTCTACCCATCGACTGGCATAACAACAACAACAGCAATAATAATAGCAACAGCAATGACTAACATTTTGGAGCCCTTCCCAAGTGCCAGGCACTGAGCTCCACTTCATTGACTCTTCTCACACATGGAAGTGGGGAGCTGCTGCTATCACCCCCATTTCACAGACAGGAAACGTGGGGAACACTGGTGAGGGCAGCCTTGGGCTGAAGCTGGGCCATCTCACCTCGGAGTCTGGGTGTCTGTCCACTGGGGCGGATGCTGTCTGGACCAAAACCCCCTCTACTGATGGGGTCATTGCACCACATCCTACACTGGGGACCTGGGGGTGCAAGACAGCCCCATGCCATCAGCGCTAAACCTCCCGCAGGGGGGCATCCCTGGGGAGATGGAGCAAATGTCTCCTGTGGGCTGTCATGCACCCAGAATGATCTCGCACCCACCATGCTCCGGCCTCAGGACTGACCCAGCGTCCACTCGGCCACGTAGGCCTGTCGCACCGAGACTGGGCTTCTTTTTTAGAAGCTTTTAGCCGAAGAAAAAGGAGGAATAGCCGGGGCCATTGTCAGAGGAGGGGAGCCGGGAGACTTGGGGACAGTACCACGGGATGGTGGGGGCCGTGCGTGTCCAGCTCGGGCACAGGAAGCCTTTCTAGGGGCCACCAGGGCCACGCCTGGTCCCAGGAAGACAGCCGCACAAAGCCACATTCCCAGACAGCCCAGGCCTGGCCGCTGTGTAGAGTTAAACTGCAGTTTAGACAGTGAAGGGGCCCATGCCTTCCTGAACCTAATGCAATCGAACAGGCTGCCAGAGAAGCCCGCTAGCCCCCTCTGATGTCGCTCTCATGTCCTGCCCAAGTGGCCTCCATCAGCACGTGTCAGTGGCCAACCGTCCTACCGCTCATCAGCCCGTGTCGTCCCTGCACACGCGGGCGGGACTGGGCACCCAGCGGGAGGAGCGGGGAGTCACCGAGCTGCTGCCCCGTTATCACCCCTCCGCCCCGGCCTGGGCAGCGCCCCTCGCCTTTGGTGCCTCCGCCTCCCCCAACTTCCTGCCTTTTTATCCACATCCCTCCTCCCCTTTCTCTGCCTCTCACACTCGGGAGTTTCGCCTACCGCCTCCTTGCTGGTCCGTCTTCTGTTGCCTTTCCTCTTCTGCTCTTTTCTCTCTGATTTTCCTGATGCTGGACGTCCATGGGGGATGCAGGCATCCTGGGGACCCTGCCCAGGAAGGGATGGGACCCACGGCTCCCCAGGCACGAGATGCCCTGCCAGCAGCCTGCTCTACAGAGCTGACCCCCAGCCCCTCTCAGCCCCCTTGTCTCTGATTTAGAATCTACAATTAGCTCCCAACCCAATGGACCCAGGAGGGCTCAGGTGGTCTCCCCCCAGCCCATCGGAGCGAGGAAAGGCCCCCCTCCCGCCTCCACCACCCCCACCCCAGGTAACATGGATCCTGCTGTGTCAGGAGCCCTCGTCTCACCCGCAGGTAGCCCCGCAGCCTGGCCCGGAGTAGGATTGGAAATCCAGATATAAATGAGTTTCTATTTTTCTAAAAGAGGGGATTTGACTCATCTGAGCTCAGGTCTCTTCCAGATTGTTACAAATTACCGTTAGGAACACGGTGGCCCACCTGTGATGCTACCCCTCTGTTTGCGCTAAGTCATTATTTCACACAAGCATCCTTACCCGAGTTGTACTGAGGACAGGCAGAGATGGGTTTCATTTTCCTTGCCCAGCAAGTGGCTTGGCCTGGAACCCAGGTTCCTCTGACTGCAGGGCCCGAGCTCAAAGGCACTATCCGTTGTGTCATAGAAATAACGAGAAACAGAATAAAAATGCAAGCCCCGGGATTTATCGGGTGATTTTTCATCTTTCCTGGGGATGTTCACAGGCTTCTGGAAGTTCAGCTGCAGGAGTCTCAGAGCAGGGCTGGTCCCTGGGCGCCACGCGGTACAGCCCAGCAGAGGCACTTAGAGCCCCAGGGCGCTGCCGCCACCGCCGCGACCCTCGGTGCCCTCCCCGTTGGGAAATACCACCCATGAACAGTATTTATTGAGCTCTTACTGTGTGCCAAGTGCTGGACATGTGTGATCTCCTAGATATAATACTCTCATTCTACTGACTCGGAGACTGAGGCTCAGAGAGGGGAAGGAACTTGCCCTGTGAGACGGGAATGCCAGCCTGATCCGGGGCCTCTTCTCTGTCCTCCTGAGGACACTATCCCTCACCTCCTGGGCCCCAGCAAAGGGCTCCTTTATCCCTTTGAGGCTCGTAGCCACATTGCAATTCATTACTTAACCGGGCCATTCGTTGTTCGATGCCCATCTTCCCCCGTAAAGTGCGAGCCCACAAGGACGTGTCTGTTGTGTCTCCGCTGTGTCCCCGGCGTCCAGCCCAGGGCCTGGCACCCAGCAGGTGGCCAGTAAATGTCTGTGGGAAGGATGAATGAAGGAGTGCATGAACGAATGAATCACCAGTGCAGCCCAGGACGACAGACGAATTTAAAAGCCTTTCACAGACCTGATGAAACCCCCTTCCCAACGTAAAGGTCCCAGGGCCCACCAGCTGCAGCAGCCGCCGGGGTCCCGACTCGGAAGGGGCGTGTCCAGAGCTGCTCCTCCCGCAGGGGGTTACTGCTCTTGAGGCCCCAGGAGGGTCTTTGTGTCTCATGTCTGTGCCGATCCGCCCGGCCCCATTATGAAAGGAAAAAGCGCTTCCAAAAAAGTGGAATCTGTCACGGTGATGGATAACCTAAATGGACTCTCCCAGCTCGCGAACAGATGTCTACGCTGAACTCTGTCAGAAATAATTAAACACCTTTCACACGGAAAAGCAGCAGAGGCAGGGCGCGGGCGCTCCCGGGCTGGGTGAGCGCCCAGCAAGCTGGCTTTCCATCCATCCCCATCCGGCACCGCACGAGGCACCTCCGGATCTGGGCCCAGAGGGACCAAGGAAAGGGGCAGAGACACCCCTCGGTAGGGTTCCCTGTCCGGCCACACGGGGTCCAGCGCTATCTCCTAGTCTGTGCGACCAGCAATCGCCACGCGAGGGCCAGTGCCCAGAGGGAGGGTTAGCCGACAGCTGGCGAGTGGCCTGTCTGCCAGGATGTTCATAACAGGCTGCCAGCCAGCCCCCAGGCCTGGGCCAGCAGCTGGACCTCCCTGGGGCTCAGTTTCCCCACCTGAAAATGAGGGGGGAACACTCGTTCTTGAGGGTCTCTTCCAACCCAAGGTTCCATGACCAAGGAGCCGTGTGGCGTGAGGCATGCGGTCTCGTGGAGGCCGCAGACCCCGAACCCAGAGTGAACTGGGACAGGTTCTCATTTTGGGGATAGGACATGAACTCATTGCCTCGTTCCTGAGTGGGGGGACCCCTGGGCCTGGGGTCACACCCTCTGTGCCTGGTGGCCGGGCTTTCTCTGCGCCCCCCTCCGCAAGGCGTGCTGGGGGCCAGCGGGGAGGGAGGAGGGGGCAGCGCTGTATGTCCGTGTGCTGACTCCAGGGTCAGCCAGACCCGGGCCACGTGGTGACCCTGCCATTCCTGACCTGTCACGTGGCTTGACCTGTCCAAGGCCCCGTTTCCTCTTCGGTCAGGTGGACCAGTGAGGCTCCCCTGGCAGAGCTGTTTGATGAGAACACGTGTACAGTGTTTAGCAGAGCGCCTGACCCTTATCAAGCCAATAAATGGCAGCTGCCACGAGGGTGGTCCTGGTGATCATTCATTCACTCACTCACTCACTCATTCATTCATTCTTTCATTCACAAATCTTATCTCTGATCACCTTTATGTCAGACCCTGTTCTCAGCACTGACCATATACTACTGTAGGACTGCTGGCGACAGGCAAGGAGTGAGGTGGACAGACGGACGGGCGGACAGGTAACTGAGCAGGTGGACCACTAGACGGGGGCGTCTGGAGAAGCTCCAGCCCTAGGCGTCCAGTTCTCACAGCCCGAAATGCTGGGGAGATGTCAACCTGAGCTGGCAGCCCTGAGTTTGGGGGTGGGGATGACTGCCCACAACGAGAACCGCATCAGCACGATGCGGACTCGGGTTGGTCCACCCTGTTCTGCCTTTTGTGTCCCCGGGTGGCGTTGGGGGCGGACAGGGCATCCCAGCTCACCCAGGACAGCCCTCCTTGGGTCTGGTTGGGAGGCAGACTAAGTAACAGCACCCCCTCTTCTCTCAAAAGTGACCCAATCAGGGGCTTCCCTGGTGGCTCAGTGGTTAAGAGTCCGCCACTAATAAGATGATCTGATGAGATACTGACTCCTACAACATTATCTATAATTATTCATTTAAAAGGTAACTTTTAAATAAAATATTGTCTTGAGATTCAGATATTTACTTTTTTTACTTGAAATAAACAAAAGTAAAAGCTATATACTTTAGTTTTAAAAAATAAATATGGACTGTTATACCAAAATACAAGGTAAACTATTCAATCTTTGTCTCAAATATTGAAGAAATAATGTCACAATAAAAATATGAACATAAATCTGCTATCAGAGGAAAAAGTGTGTTTAAAAAATGATGTGTAGGGCTTCCCTGGTGGCGCAGTGGTTGAGAGTCCGCCTGCCGATGCAGGGGACCCGGGTTCGTGCCTCGGTCCGGGAGGATCTCACATGCCGCGGAGCGGCTGGGCCCGTGAGCCATGGCCGCTGACCCTGCGCATCTGGAGCCTGTGCTCCGCAACGGGAGAGGCCACGACAGTGAGAGGCGCACGTACCGCAAAAAAAAAAAAAAAAAAAAGTGACCCAATCAGAACCATATATTCTATGGTCTCCTGGTATGAAATCAAGAAAAACAAGACGGTTTATCCCTCTTTACAAAAAACTGCCAGTGATAACGGCCCAAAGACAGAGGGGTGGGTGCCCCCAAATATTTACAGCAGCACTGACAGT